TATGACTACTTTTTGAGCCTAAAATAGAACTGTCCTTTAACTACTCAGTTTTCCCTTACTTCCATTCCTGTAGGTCCTTTCACCACCTGGTAATGCTGAAACCTCTGTGAGGGAAAGGGGAGAAATGGGAAAAGTGAGCTGAAATTGTAGATGGATGTATGTATCCAAGTTAGATAAAGAGAAGAATATTCCAACAAAGAATTTTATTCCACTGCTATTACTTTCTCCCTTCATCTCAGCATTGTGATGACCACATGCTCAACGCTCCTGGCACTTGGGCTGATGCCTCTTCTACTGTATCTTTACTCAAGAGGGCTGTACCAGGGCAACCTAGAGGGCAAAGTACCTTACAAGGGAATAGTCATCTCCTTGGCCATGATGCTCATTCCCTGCACAATTGGGATCTTCCTGAATGAGAAGAAGCCACAGTATGCTCGCCTCATCATCAAGGTAAGAAATGGCATTATTTTGTGGTAATAACTTTTCCCTAAGGGCTTCTAAGCAATTTACAAACATTTCATCTCACTAGTTGCCTATGAGGTAATTAGTATCTGTACCCCTGATTTACAGATGGGAAAACTGAAGCACAGAAGGGTTAAGTAGCTTCTTCTAGATCATGCCACAAACCAGTGAAAGAGCTGAGGACAGGACCCAAGAGTACTTACTCCCAGTTCCCTGCTCTAACCACTGGACAACACTCTCTAACCAATCCATAGCCTTGCACAAAATGTTCTCCTATTGTGCGGAGAGCTCAGATGCCTGCCAACACAGGATAAGAGGAAAGCCTCAAAGCCACTAACTAGGGCTTTGTGGCAATCATCCAGAAGCGACTGGGACAGATCACCAGCATCTACTTATGCCTAGAAAAAACAGCAACCATATTCCGTCTCAGCAGTGCCTGTGTTCTAACTGTGAGTAAAGGGGTTCCAATAGAGTCTCTTAAGTGCTTTGAGATGAAGGTGCTATATTATTACAAGTAGGAAGGTATCATTCTAACCGACAATGGGACAGCTACTTACAAACATCTTGGCTAATTTTAATGGCGATTTTTGTCTTGTCTTTCCCAACTCCTGATCCACTTTTATTTCAGGCAGGGATGATTGTGTTGCTTGTATCATCTGTTCCAATAATCGCTCTGTTTGTGACAAGTGTTGGAAACAGTATTTTGATCATCTTCTCGCCACCCCTACTGGGAACGTCTGCCTTGATGCCTTTTATTGGTTTCCTGCTTGGCTACATGCTATCTTCATTTTTCAATCTCAATGACAGGTAGGTCCCTCTACATCTCTGTAGCGGGGCAATTACACCCCGTCCCCCTTTGGGGAGAGGGGCAAGGCCATCATGGCCCCGCAGTAAGTCTGCCTTCCTGCCCTTATCCTCAGGGCTGTATGGCCCAAGGTGTCAGAGTCAATATGCTCACTCTTGTCGGCAGGGCAGTATGGCTTAGTAGCCAGAGTCAATATAGTTGTCCTTGATGTCAGGGCAATATGTCCTAATGGCCAGAGTCAATAGAACCCCCTCCTCAGTGGGGTTGTGTGGCCCAATGGCCAGAATCAATATGCCTGCCCTCCTCAGCAGAGCTGAGTGGTCTAGTGGCCAGTTGGGGGAATAGGCAGCCACCTAAGGGTGGGTGGCAGCCGGGATAGGGGGACCTGGGACCTCCAGGCTCCACTGGGTCCCAGCCCAGGGCCCTGACAGTGGCAAGTGTGATTTCCTCAGAGTCAGCGGGGATCTGACCGAAACACACTGGCTCAAGATCCAGTTTGATAACCAGTCCACTGTCTAGTTCCCCTGGGCTACTTCCTACCATATTCCCCGATGCTGTGGTCTAGACATCTTTCAGGTCTCCCGGTTCCTCAGCGTGCAGATTCCAGAAGCTCCGGCCTCCCTTGGGCATCCACAGGTATCCAGGCATCTGCCTAGATCTCAGTGCCTCTGGCTTCCATGGTCTGGGGTTCCAGTTGCTCCCGGGCTGGAGCCTACGAGATGCATCCTTCCTTTCTGGCGATCAGCCTAGAACAGGGGTTCTCAAACTGGGGGTTGGGACCCCTCAGGGGGGTCACAAGGTTATTCCATGGGGGGTCGTGAGCTGTCAGCCTCCAGCAACCCTGGAGATTGACAGTTGTTGTTTAACTACAGGACACATATGAATACAGGCAGGGACAGTGCAGCTACTTCTCTACCAAGTTCCCTCTAAGCTGCGCGGCCGCGCAGCAGGCTATCAAGGGCCACGCAGGCGGGGAAAGATGCCTCTCCCCCGGCCCTGGAGTTGCCCAGGCAGGGAGAGGCGTTCCCCCCCCAGCCCCGGGCTGCTGCAGCAAGAAAGGGCTGGGGGGAGTCCTCTCTCCCCGCCGCAGCCCTGGGGCAGCCTGCACCCCAAACCCCTCATCCCCAGCCCCACCCCAGAGCCCACACCCCCAGCCAGAGCCCTCACCCCCCTGCACTCCAACCCTCTGCCCCACCCGAGACCCCTCCCACACTCCAAACCCCTTGGCCCCACCTTCGCCACACATCACCGCCATATTGTTGCACATAACAAAATTAATTCCGCACGTGGATGTAAAAAATTAGAGGGAACATTGCCTCTGTATTGTCCCTAGCCCACGTGCCTCAATCCTTACTGGGATGAGAGATGAGTAGAGTCTCATGGACCAAATCATTCTTTGGCCGTCTTGAGTCTGACAAAAGTGGAACCAATGGCAGAGGCAATACTGTCAAATGGACATCTGAAGACCCACCAAGTTGTTTCACACAGGCCTCTGAACAAGCTGATAAATGGTTTGACTTTTGGTCACTACAGACCTGTTCATTTCAGAATTCTCAGTTACTGACAATGAAATATGAAAGAGAAAAGTCAGGAGAACTCCCAAGTAGAAAGTGATGGAGAAAAGGGTTAGTGCGTGCTGACAGGACTGACAAAACTCAAACAATTTTTCCTATTTTGATAACTGCCTCACACCACAAAGGGCATAACAATATTCAGCTGAAGACCCCAGCACAGATTCAAAGTTGGGACTCCACTACACAACTGAATCATCCTTTATCATGCCTTGAGCCCATGGGTAACCCAGCCAAGATAACCCTCCTAACACACACAAACCTCCCCTTACCTTTCCCTGGTGACTCTCTCTCCTCACTTTTGAACCAGATTTTTTTCCCCTTGTGGTGGCAGCAGCTCCTGGAGAACCCCAGATTCATGACCGCCAATCATGACTAGGCAGGATTTCCACCCATGCACCCCACCTCTGTCACTACCTATCGTTGCACACTCCCAAAGGAGTGCTGAACAAAGCATCTCATTCGAATTCTCAGCACTGCTCCTACTGCTGTTTTTTTACTAGGGTCAAACGCATAAACAGCTGGGCACCCTGTCTGCAGTTCTGCAATTCATGCCTGTGTTTAACTCTTTCCTGTACAGATGCAGGCGGACAGTCTGCATGGAGACTGGTTGCCAGAATGTGCAACTCTGCTCTACCATCCTCAAAGTGGCCTTTGCCCCTGATGTCATTGGACCCCTTTTCTTCTTCCCTTTCCTATACATGGTATTCCAGCTTGGAGAGGGCTTTCTCCTGATACTGGCCTTCAGGGTTCACGAAAAGCTGAAGAAACCAAACGGCAAGTGTAGTATAACTAAAACCTCTCTCCTGTTCCTACAGGCTTTTCATCTCAAAGTAGTGTATAAACCATACACTGGTATCACTGCCCCCCATCACGGAACTGCTGCTCTCTCTGGGGTGGAACTCAGTTGCTGTATAACAGCACACAGCAAAACTAAACAGCTAGAAGTGAAGAATAGCCTCTCCAGATGATACTGCATAGGGAATTGAGGATACTAGGGGCCACAACTTTTGATATCAAAGTTTAGTAGTGTGAGGTACTGACTGTGGAACCCACCAATAGTCACAGCTTTCCGGAGAGTCCTGTGCTTCAGTGCGCAGGCACATCCCAAAAGCAGGGAATCTGTATTGACACAACTCAAAGGAGACGAGTATCAAGTCCATTTGAAACAGAGGAATATGAGGTAGACAGCAGCTGATGCAGCTTGGGTATCACTATCCGTTGTTGAGTGAGGGGTGAGAAAGGGTCACCCCATTATGCAAGTTACATAAGTCATGTCATTAGAAGGTAAATGCTAGGTGAAATTTCTGCAAAGAATAGAAATTAGAGGCTCTAAGACTCGAAGCTCTGTAGTATGAGCAGCTTTTCACCTTCATATTTTGTTACCCAGCCCTGGCCAGTAACATCATACTCATTACCATCTGACAACTGTCAGGTCACTATGACAGCATGCAACTCTTGAGTGCACCCCTTTGTGGCACAACATGGTCCTAGGATTGCTCTGTCTCAGTTTCCCCCATACATACTATGCCTATTCCAGCCATAGTATCATAGAATATCAGAGTTGGAAGGGACCTCAGGAGGTCATCTAGTCCAACCCACTGCTCAAAGCAGGACCAATCCCCATACAGATTTTTGTCCCAGATCCCTAAATGGTCCCCTCAAGGATTGAACTCACAACCCTGGGTTTAGCAGGCCAATGCTTAAACCACTGTATCAGCCAGCCCTCCAGCCAAGTGCCCTCAAAGCATCCAGCCCCTTCCAGGAAAAGGAATCTTTCAAAAACAAAGTCTCAAAAGACACAGAACAAAGGAATCATCTGTTCAGCCAGGCTCTACCAGTGTTGTAATTGCCAGCCATTGCACGCTGGCTCTGCATCTCTCGAATAGTTTAGTTTTGTGGAGGCAGCAAGTGTGGCTACCTGAGCCCAAGTCTGGCCTTTAACCCTTTCTAGCACAGGATGGGACCATCTTACCCCATCACAGTGGCCTACAAAAATAAGTTGATTGCATCATTGAAGTTCTTAATGAACATGAATTCACTTACCTCTGCCAGATGGTGCTCTTCTGGACCAATATACAAGTTTAGGACAGGAAGTGAACAATGCTTAATCCAAATGAGTGGATTGCGTTTTGGTGAGGTTGCAGAAAAGTATTGCAGCTGAGAGGGGAGACTGGTTGGAGTGTGTAAGCAAATTCAGCAAATGCCTTTGTGATTTAAAAAATAAAAATGCTGTAGGCCAGTTTCATGGCAATAAGGACAGCTGTTCCGGTACAGTACCACTGCAGCTCTCCCTCTGGGGTTCAGCTGGGGAACAGCTTCAAAACCCATTGAGCCTTACAGGGAGGGACTACTTGGGAGAGCCACTCAAGCAGAACATCTAGCAGCCATCTTAGTCCTGCCCCTGCCCTAGCCAGCTGGCTCCACCTACTTTGGGAGGCAGAGCAGAGGTTGATTTGCACCTTGGAGTGCAGTAGTGGTGGTTTGTCATATTTTGTAAATGGAGCTAGTTTGCTGATAGAAAAGCAGCGTGCACTGGAAACGTATACAAAAAGGTGACATTTTCCACTTACTGTTAAATGGACTCTTCTAAAAATTCCTTGCAAATCAAAGTCTGGTTCATGAAATGACTTGAAACAAAATAGCTGCAGTTTTTTGTTGTTGTTGGGGGAGAGGGGGCGGGATGGGGCTTGCCACCTTTATTTTGCACAGCTCTGTCCCTTGGGCTTCTTTGAGATCTAAAAAGGGCCAAGTATCGCTCAGTGCAATTTAGGAATCCCTGCATTACAGCAACCATTCATCTTTCCTGCAGCATCACCTTCCAGTGATATGGGTTGGACAATGTGGTCTTATGACTTTTTTTCACCCCACCTCTTCTTTAGATACAACAAAAATGATCTATACAGCTGTGGATGATATTGCACAAGAAACAGAAACACCAGCAAAATAGGTGGATACTACAGAAGCACCACACCTCAGATACACCACCAGTGCTCCAGGTTATAGCTTCTGCACCCAGTTTGCTGAACTCCAGCAGTTTTGCATGAAATGTGCACCAATGTTGATTTTAAAAGAAAGGGGTGAGCAGATCCTCTCACAGACCCACTGTCCCCTCCCCCCCATTGGATGTTCTCCAGAAAGGGCACCAAGTGCCACAGGCTATAGTTTGAGACTCATTGGACTAACCAATTTTTGGTCATCTCCAAAACATTCATATTTTGGCTGATGAAGAAATGGTGCAGTCCATCTCAGTGAGCTCTCTCCGAGTTTCCCATGAGCTCTGTGCCGGAGACCTTGGAACCAACAGCATGACATAGCTTATTAGTGGTTGCTACCATTAATGGAGCCAGACCCATTCATTTGAGGTGTTTTTCTGTGCACATAGTTTTGTGAGAGCAGCAAAAGCCTTTCAGAAGTTCAAGCTAATTTCTCTAATTGACATCTAAAAGCTAGCCTGGAATTTTCTCAACACGGGATCGACAAATGAAATGTGACCAAAATGTACAGTTTAGGAGTCCTTTACTATCAATCACAGGCACTCCTCTTCACCCCAGCAGTTTTGTACATGTAAGGTCCCCAAACCATAGGCACTGGAGCCCCAAAACGTGACCTTATTGTTTCTATAATTTAACATGGGGAGCTTTCTAAGATACTTCTAAGGCTGACCCTAGTGTCTGACTGCCTCATACACTTAAGGGCTATTATCCACATCTTAGAAACGGGGAACTGATGCACACAGAGGCGAAGTGACTTTCCCAAAATCACACATCAGGGGCAGAGCAAGAAACTGAACCTGGGTCTGCCTCATCCTAAACTAGTACCCTAACTGCTGGACTGGTCTGCCCAAGGACAAGACCACCTGTCCCAAAGTGCCTTGCTTTGTAGGAACACTCCAGCATCTGACATAATACTGAACATTTTGAAAGCATCATATCAACATTGTGGCCTTGTGGCTTAGTTACAGTCAGTAACAAGGCAGCATTAGAACTCAGAAGCTCCCAGTTCTGTGCTCAGACCAGTGGTTTACTGTACCTCAAAGTAAAATTATTTAAGAATATTGAGCATATTAAAAAAACCACCATTCAATAAAGCCACAAACTTTTGACTTACAATTGCTGTAGTTTCAATACATTACGTAAACTAGATGTCTTAGGTGCCTGGCAAGAGGCCAATAGTCCTTGGTGATGCAAAGGATGAGAATTCTTTTTGCACACAGTGCCTGGTTCAGTCCTCATTGAAGTAAATCAGAGCCTTTCCACTGACTTCTATTATGCTGGTACCCATCATGGTCATAAAGCTCTTTAGAAGCAAGTTATCTTTAGCCACTGACCATTTGTTCAATGGCTGTCTCACTTGCATTCCAAAGACCGTTATCCCTCACACTACTGGATAAAGCTTTCCGAAATGCAGCAACTGCATATGGTTAATGTCCCTTTAATAGCTGGGATATCCTGGGATGCAGAGTTTAAAGATTCCACTGTAACTCTGCCAACCCCCACCATTCAAAACTCATCAGAACCCTCCCCACCCCCCCAAAAAGCGCATGGGATTGCCTTAAAATCATGTGGTGTCTTTTTCAAAGACCAGTTTTTCAGCAGCACAATTCCCTCCACATTCTCCTGTCCTCTACTTGGCTCCTACATGACGACTCATGGTGGGCCACCATCTTCCTTGAGGGCAGACTGATTTCAGCCCCTTGGAAACAGGGCCGGTCCAGGGTTTTGGCCACCCCAAGCAGCCCAAAAAAAAAAAAAAAGCCGCAATCGCGATCTGCAGCGGCAATTCAGCGGGAGGTCCTTCGCTCTGAGCAGGAGTGAGGGACCGTCCGCCCAATTGCCTCCAAACAGCTAGACGTGCCACCCCTCTCTGAAGTGGCCGCCCCAAGCACCTGCTTGGTAAGCTGGTGCCTGGAGCCGACCTTGCTTGGAAACAGCATTTACTGTCTTCACTGGGGGCAGCCTGACTGTAACCAGCTGGGTCTTTAGTTCCACTCACATTAAACAGCAGCCATATTAGTGAAGAAATAAGCTTCATAAAAAACAGAATCGGAGTCAGGAAAACCCTTATAAAACACCACATATACTTTGTGAGCAGAGGCCTGACAGAAGCCTGCTGTAGATTTTAAGAGTCTGTTCTGTTAACGTAACAGTGTAACACTTAGTCAAACTATGTATGTGTAAGAAATTGCAGTGTAATCATGTTTGCAAGACCAAGAAAAATGACAAAAGCTAGAAGGCCAGTTTGAACTAACACTAAACCTGTACTGAGAGGAAGAAAGTTAACATGGAAATGAGAAACTAATACATATGCATGAGAAGTTTATGTAACAAAAGTAGGTTAAACTTGTTTTGTTTAGTGCTGGAAGCAACATATGAGGTCATGCAACTGAGCTTCCCATTTGTAACTGACTGCTACTTGCTGAGTGTTTGCCTTAATAAAGATTTTAAATTAGACACCTGCTAAGAGACTCTAAAGCCAACAATATGTTGCAAGACTTGCAACAACACTGAATTGGTAATACTACCCTTGGAAGAAACTGCACATGGATACACTTACACCCCAAAAAACGAACAAAACAAGGTAGAAAAAGTCTGCCTCACTTTAATTGATAATTTAAAGGAACAGCATTTTCAGTGCCAAGTATGCAACTCCGTGCAACAAGAACTAAGTGTACTTAAGGTATCACTTCTTTTAAAGCATATGGCAAGTCCTGTTTTTTCACAGACCGGAATCTTAACTGCAACAAATCTGTGACCACCTAGAACTGTCGCTGACCTGTGGACACAAAATGGCAATGGTAACAATGACAGAACTCTGATCCAGATCCTACAACTGGAGCTGGTTAGTAGTATAGAGCCTCCATTACATGCAATTGAGCAGTTAGGACAAGTTGCATACAACCATTTACCAGAACATATTTCCCCAGAATGTCCTATATTATGACTGAACCCCAAGAGATGGCAGCTAGTTA